TGTATGATGTCCTTGATGTCATCCCACAACTCGTCTGATCTTTAGTCATTGGTGTTCAGTGAATCAAATCAATTCTCTAAATTCAGGTGGGATATAATCAAGGTTGTATTTTGGATGTGTTTTAATTTTCTTCAGCTTCAACTTAACTTAAACTTGCATATGAGCAATTGATGGTCTGTTCCACAGTCAGCTCCTGGCTTTGCTTTGACTGATGATATTGAGTCTCTCCATTTCCTCTTTACACAGATGTAGTTGATCTAATTTCTGTGTATTCCATCCGGCAAGGTCCATATGTAAAGCCACTGTTTATCATGTTGAAAAAAGATATTTTCAATGAATAAGTTGTTTATCTTGCAAAATTCTATCATGCGATCTCCAGAGTCATTTCTATCACCAAGGCTGTATTTTCCAACTACTGATGCTTCTTTGTTTCCAACTTTCACATTCCAGTTGACAGTAATTATCAGTGCACCCTGGTTGCATGTTTGGTCAATTTCAGATTGCAGAAATTGGTAAAAAATGTTCAGTTTCTTCATCTTTGGCTTTAGTGGTTAGTGCATAAATTTGAATAATTCTTGTATTAACTGGTCTTTCTTGTAGGCATATGGATATTATTCTAATACTGATAGCATTGTACTTCCGGATAGATCTTGAAATGTTCTTTTTCACAATGAATGCAACACCACTAAAATACCTCTTGTGTAGAATTGCTGTCAAAATCCAATTAGTTTCACTTTTGATCAGTGAGCTCAAAAAGCATAGGGGGCTGCTGATTTATACCTGTTGTTTAGGATTTATTCCTTTGTCAACATCTAGAGTACACAAAAAGATTCTGTGGTAGTTAAGGTTTTGTGTCAACTTGGCTAGGTCTGGTAGCATGGCTGGGCAGCTGGATGCAGTATTCCTCATGATGAGACTAGTAATCAACTCCATGGTGGAATCTACTGTGAGCAGCTGAGTAGCTGCCTTAGGGATGTGGTCTGCTTACTGTATATAAGCAGATGCCTTGGGGAATGGTCTCTAGCTGATGGCATACTTGAACCCTGCGTGTAGCTGTGTTATTGTTAGCAGTCTGCCATGCTCTGCCAACCTTGGGACTTTCAATGCACTTGAATTAATGGCCTGTTATGTGGTTTGGTAACATCAGGATTGTGCCAATTTATTTGTTGACCTTGGGCTAGTTAGCCTCAGCAGCCAGTAGCTGCCTGAGTGAAGAGATGTCTCTAGCTTCAGTGGGCCAGGAGCAAGAGGCTGAGTCCAAGGTTGAGGGGCTTTCACACAGCCCCTAGAGTCTGGCACTTTGAACTTGGACTTAAAGCCTCCTGAACTATAAGAGAATAAATTCCTGTTTGTTAAGACCATCCCATTTGTGGTATATTCTTGCCAGAATGGCACTGGGTAACCTGAACAGATTTCTAGAATTAATACTTGGCAAAATGCTCTAAATAATTCTGACTCTGTGGCTTTAAAACCGTTCTGACCTTAATAAGAGGTAATAACTATTTTGACACTCTCTAAGGTCAGGTCCAAATTTTTGGGTCATCAAAGGCTTGAGGGCCCCAAAACTTCATACCTCTTAATTCTCCACATGCTGGGGATTACAAGTGTTAGGAAACAACTCTGTAATTGGTGATTTATCGGTGAGACTATTTCTAGAGAAGCCAGCACATAATAAGTGATTTTCACCTCTAAGAAATGAGACTCATTAATAACCTGCTACTTGGAGATGAACAACCTTACTTGTTGAAAGTGAAAAATACTTGAAGCATTTAATGATGAAGAGAATAAATATTTCAGTATGGATTACATCCCAACATAAAGAAAACAAAAATCTTCACAACTGGACCAATAAGCAGCATCATGGTTAATGGAGAAAAGATTGAAGTTGTGAAGAATTTAATTTTACTTGGATCCAAAATCATTGCCATTGGAAGCAACAGTGAAGAAATCAACAGTGCATTGAGTAGATCTGTTGCAAAAGACCTCTTTTATGTAAGAGCAGAGATGTCACTTTGAAGACTAATGTGCTCATGACCCCAGGCATTATCTTTTCAGTAGGCTCGTATACATGTGAAAGCTGGACAATGAATGAGGAAGGTGGCAGAATTGATGTGTTTGAATTGTGGAGTTGCTGAAGAATATTAAATATACTGCAGACTGCCCAAAGAATAAACAAATATGTTTTGGAAGAAGTACAGCTCAAATGCTCCTTAGAAGTAAGAATGACCAGACTTCATCTCTCATACTTTGATCATGTTATCAGGAGACAAAAGTTCTTGTGGTATGATATCATGCTTGTTAATTTAAAGTGTCAGCAAAAAAAGAAAACCCTCAACGAGATGGAACAACACAGTGGCTTCAGCAATAGTCTCAAGGATAGCAATGATTGTGTGAAGATGGTGCAGGACCAAGCAGTGCTTCATTCTGTTGCAGATAGAGTTGCAAAGAGTTGAAACTGAATCAACAACAGCAGCAGCAGCAACAGCAGCAGCAGCAGTAATAAATAAACCAAAATGCCAAGATTATCCCTGTGTGTTTAAACTAATGCAAATTTGGGGTAGATGTAGACAATGGCAGTGATCTGTAAGTATGATTGATTTTGATTAGATGTCAAAGTCAAATATGGGCAAGTCTGTTACTTATTTTTGAGACTGTTTGGTGCCTTACAGGGTGACAGTGGGACGCCCAACCAAATTCAGTAATGTAAGGCTTATCTTGGATCCTTCGGTTGAAACCTTGTACTGGTTTGATTGTTCTGATCATATTTTATAAACATCTCACCCCTTCTTCCAAACACAGCACAAGTTCACATTCACTTCTGGCTTTGGACAGATGTAGGTAATATCAAATCTATGTTAGCCTCTGGGGACATCTCTACCTTAATGAATAATAAAATTTCAACAGCAACCTCATACCAGAAATAAACACTCTCTGACTGGAAAATAGATAGCTGCGTTGGATGTGGGGCAAGCTGCTTGCCCTGTGGTAGATTTAAAATGTGATACGAAATAAGCCATCCTGCATTTTCTGCCACACAGAACAGCATCCCTTCTAACTCCCATTAAATGGGATCTTAGAAGCTTTGCCTCTTTACTGTTGTTCTTTCCAGAATTCGGACATGAATGGAAGGTAGCCTTTCTAACCTAAATGTTGTTGTTGTTGTTATGTGCCATCAAGTCAGACCTGTCTCATAGTGACCGCTCCTTGGGTTTCTGAGGTGGTATCACTATGGAAGTAGATTGCCCAACCTTCCTTCTGAGGAGTGGCTGGTGGGTTTGAACCATCAACCTTCTGGTCAGCAGTCAAGTGCCTTAGGCACTACGCTACCAGAACTCCCTCTAACCTAAATAGGTAGCTTATATTGATAACTAGTCAGATCATTTGTAATAAATCCTTTGTTGGATTAATATTGCTAATTTTTGCCTTCTTTTCACTAAGGACTATGATGCCTTTTTTGAAGCCAGAGAAAATAACGCAGTTTATGCCTTCTTAGGATTGACAGCACCTCCTGGTTCAAAGGTATGTTTCATTTTTGTTTTCTGGCCTATAGGTTATAGTTTTATTGGTGTGGAATTTTTAAATCATTAATATTGCCACCTTTATTTATTAGTTATATTAAGCCAGATGCAGTAGAACATAGCTAAAAGTCATATTCCTTGCTTTGCATGAACTTAATCCTCAATAGGGTAGGTAGATGTATATAATCAAATTCATAAAGTATGTGAGTAGAAAGTAGAGTGGAATGACTTCCTTATCAAGCTGTCCAAGGCAGCAAATTTCTCATTGGCCCATTCACAGGTAAGTGGTTAAGAATGTCAAAGAATTTGTTATGCCAACTGTCATGAATGGTTCTACATTGACAGAAAGCATCTCAATTCGTGGTCATCTCCTTGACAGCATTTATTATATTTGTCTGAGAGCAAATGCTAGAGTCATCCATTCAAGTTAACTAAGAGGATTTGAATTGCAAAACTGGTCACTAAATAGGGTCAAATTTAAGGGCCCTAATATATGGCATAAATAGACTATCAAGCATAATTCAAAATGCACGAACAGCAGAAGAGAAGCCAAATGATTGGGACCTTCTAAAAATTAAATTTTTATGTGCTTCCAAATACTTCTCCAAAAGATTCAAAAGACAACCTACAGATTGGGAAAAAAATATTTGGTAATCACATATCTGACAAGGGACTTATCTCTAGAATTTATAGAACACTTCAACGCCTCAATTAAAAAAACCACAAATAATCCAATTAAAAAATGGGCTGAAGACATGAATAGACACTTCACCAAGGAGAATATTCAAGCAGCCAACAAACATATGAAGAAATGCTCACAATCAATAGCTATTAGAGAGATGCAAATCAAAACAACAATGAGATACCATCTTGCTCCAGCACTAGTATCAAAGTTCAACAAGACAGAAAATA